GCGGCACTGGGCGGGCCTAGCTGCTTCTTCAACACCCGGGAGGGAGGCAGCCCAGCTAGATTTCAAAGGTCACCGCCAGGTGCATTTAATGGATGGGTGGTTGGTGGGGGGCGGCTGGGGGGTGCCTGGTCAGGGAAAGACCTCCCAGGGCCCCAGGAAGGGTGGAGACGTTGAGCTGCAGACACAAGGGTGCCCCACCTCGGATCTTCCCAGTGCTCATCACCACAGTGAACGCTCTGAGCGTGCGGCTGGGGAGCTACGTCCAGAACGTGTTCACAGCAGCCAAGCTGGTGATCGTGGCCATCATCATCGTCAGCGGAATTGTCCTGCTGGCCCAAGGTGACCCGCGGCCGGGAGGGTGGGTGGGCGCCGAGGCACGGCCTTTTCAGCTGGAGGTGTTGCCCCTAAGTGTGTCTCTAAGGAAGCAAGCAGGAATTCAACAGAAAGAACCTTCCGTTTCCCCACTTTTCAGGGTTTGTGTAACAACCTGAATCAGAGCCATCCCCTCCTTCCCATGGAGATGAAGCAGAGGCCCAGACTGGGCAGCTGACACCCACTATTCACACTGTCTGGCTTAATTACAGGAAATACAAAGAATTTTGAAAATTCTTTTGAAGGCACAAAAGTGTCTGTGGGAGCCATCAGTCTGGCATTTTATAATGGACTCTGGGCGTACGACGGATGGTAAGGCTCTTCTAAGATGCACACGTCTGGTTGTGGGTTTCTTTCGGTTATTTGAACTAAAACCAGGTGGAAAGCAACAATTTCTCCTTTCTGGGGCTGGGGGACCCTAAAATTCACTTTCCCCTCTCCCTTTTGTTATGCACCCCACATCTCGCCCTTCGCTCTCCCTGGACCCCAGAGACACCGTGACTGCTGCCCCTTTCCCAGTCTCTCAAGGCCGCAGCCTGGCAGGGCGGCCATGAGCAGGCAGCAGTGGGCAGCGCTGCCCAGGCCCTTGATGAGGCAAGAATATTCAGCGGCACTTCTGTTTCCACCTTGAAAATACTGGCTTTCGTCCAGGGGACTCTGTTTCCATCCGGAGAAGAAGACCGGCTGTCGGTGGTGCTGGGCTTTCCACTGCGCAAAGTGTCGGCTGTGTTCCTCTCCTTTTCAGGCAGTAAATCTGACTTTTCAAAGCACCTTGGGAACTCATCACTCCCAATAATTCTTGAAAATTCCAGGGCAATTCCCATGGAGGAAAAAGACGTCCCAACTGACAGACCAGGGTTTTCTCTGGAAGAAACGGCCCTGAGATTCCTGCAGAATTTTCTCCATGGTGGACAGTCTTAAATGAGGCCAACATTTATTACGTGTTTCACAATCTTAGCAAAGAAAATCAACGTCGTGTTGCTCACGTTACTTTGTTTTCCTCTAGGAATCAACTCAATTACATCACAGAGGAACTGAGAAACCCTTTCAGGTAAAAAAGCTGGGCAGGGCAGGAGACAGTGGGCAGGCAAGCGTGTTTGTCTTCTCCCAAACGAGAGGTGGGATTGCTGCCCACCATGATGCCGCGATCCCCTCCCAGGCAGCAAGGGGCTCCCGTGAGCTCATTTAACACTCGGAGAGGTTGATTTTGTTTGGGGTAGTGGAAAGGTGGTTGATAGGAAGAACAATATCTCTGGCTTGTTTTGCTTTATGAACAATTCAGTTTTCCTGCCCTGGAGTCTGAGAGAGGTAGAGTTCTTTCTCAGTTGAGAATGTCACGTCCCCACTGGGGCTCTGCTACCCCACAAGTCCCCGCGTCTGCATGGGCTTCAGCAAAGGCAGCTGGGACCCAGCCCAGCATGGGGAGCAGGCATGGGGATGGCCAGGGTGGCTGGGAGGAGACTGTTATTACAATCTTGGGAGCCTCTCATGGGCCACTCTGGTCTGACCCTGGCTCCCTGCGTCCCTTCCCTTCCCAGAAACCTGCCCTTAGCCATTGTCATCGGGATCCCACTGGTGACGGGGTGCTACATCCTCATGAATGTCTCCTACTTCACCGTGATGACTGCAACCGAGCTCCTGCAGTCCCAGGCTGTGGCCGTGGTGAGC